CGGAAACGCTGTTTACCTTCCCGCCGGAGCGGTACCTATTTATCTACTTGCACTTTGATGTGCTTTCGAACTGCTAGGTTGGCAGGAGCAGGGACCGAGCAATTGGAGCTCACCTAGATGAATAAGAGCCTTCTTAATTTGGCACCTGGATGGTAGTAGTGTTGGCTCCTGACAAATATCCACAGGGTATCCACAGTTTAGCCACCACTGAGAAGACCCTCCTTGTGAACTACACACAATCTCAGACAATGGCCTCAAAAAGTTGGCACTAAAATAGCTCAATGAGCAATCTTTTAGTGGAAAAGACAGGCACCCTAGCTGTTATAAAGTAGAATGTGCTTTTAGTTGTGTATTAATTCTTGATTATATTGAACAGCTTGTTAGACCTGTCACCATGGTGCCTAGTATCCCAGGAATTCCAGGACCTTCATCTCCTCAACCTGTGCAGTCAGAGGCAAAATTGGTAAGTTCTTCAATAAGATGAATTTAGGTATAATATAGAAAGTGAACCAGAAAATCCAATAATATGTTTGGTTTTTATTTATTTTGTTTTATATACAACCTAATTTTGTTTTACATACATATAGAAGAACTGTACTTTCAGTCCCAAAGAAATTAGCTATGTGACTGTCTTTGTGTGTTGTGCAGTACTATTGCATTTTGGAAAGCAGGACATTGAGAAAAGACTACTTAATAACAACCACAGCAAGAGTAAATAATACCTAACAATTATACAGCATTTTGTAACATTCAAAGTATTTATCATTTGTTATCACGTAATGCCATCACAAATTCTACATTAGTGGAACTTTCTGTAGAGTGGGCCAATGTACGATTTACAAGTTAATAGTTCCGCTCCGCATTAATGCACTGAATGCACTATACAAGTGACTGAAAATTCCCTTTCTTAGCTTAGATACTGTTCAGCAGTTTGAATTTCCACCCATTGTAGAGAATCACTGAAAAGACCCCTATGGCCAGAAACAATGGCTGAGTTCAGACGTCATACTAATGTTACTAAACAATGGCAAGACATTAATGGATCTTGCCTCCTCCTGACCTCCCTCCCCCAATCTTCCCACACAGTAGGAGGAGGAGCTTGGAAGCATTCATGTTTTGCTTTTGCTTAACCAGGGCTTCTTACATTGTCCAGACTGATTTGAAACTAAACCTGGTACAGTACATGGTAATTTCAAAACATGACTTCTGAAGTTATAGTCACAGGATACAGCATGCTCAGTTAATCCAAACAAGAAATGAAAGCTCCCAAATGTCTCCTCCCAGCTTTGTGCAAGGAGTAAGTGAGCCTGGAGCAGCTAGATTCACTCATGTCTTGTTGAACCATGGATGGGCACCCTTTGACCTAATTTAGTGCAATTTTTTGCCTAATTTCATGGGGGGAGGAACGGATGGAAGAGTGGGGGAGAGACCATGGAAGCAATTAGCCCTGTGGCAAGAGCAATCTGTTTCTCCTCTGGCAGCCTGCTTAAAAGGGGCAGCAGAAAAAGGAGAAAAGAGAAAAGGGTTGCCCACAATTGATCCTGTCCACTGTCCACATACAGGCTCTAAGAAATGACCCTCAATGGAATGTGGCCTTTAATAGAAAAACAGTTTGCCCACTCCACACTAAACCACATTTTAGTGTGGCACCCGATTACAGCCATTGTTAGTGAATAGTAGAACGGTTGGGAGAATTCTGAAGACATTCAATGGTAATCGCAAATTTTTGGATTGCCTGGAAGTCTGCTACATTCTGATCTCCCTACTCTGCTTATCAAGTGAAAAGGAACCATAGGAAGTGGCAATTAAAATTACCTAATTTGTGGTATCAAACAGGGTGTTAAAAGATACCTCTGTAAATTATACAATTACAGAATCATATTTTTATTGCTTAAATCAATCATTGGCTTCCTTATGGTGCATAAATTAGTGCTTCCAATGAATTCTTTATTTAATTGCCTTTGTTTAGCATCTATGCTAATAGCAAATTCATTCGCTCAAGTGCCTATCCTTATGTATCCAAAACGGCACCACCTACACGCAAGAAGGGGGTATTGGCATGTTCAGGGAAACCCTGAGGTTTTCAAAAGACCAAAAGATCTTTGGCAGGAGGCAAAACCTTAGAGAACCAAACAAAAAACCAGGACTGAGTATGCTCAGTGGATGCAAAATGCTAACTGTTTGACTAGGAAGGAGGGGGGTGGCATTGGGATAGAAAATCAAAGGCAGAGAGGAAAGAGAGAGACTACTTGTTCCATTGATTGTAGAAATGCAGTAGCAGAAAAATGCATGCATTAACAGAGACTACTAAATCTACCTGGTAGCTAGAGAGAGGATACCTCATTTTAAATTGGTTAATTCCCAACATGAAGCATTTTAGGAGACCGGTGATGTCATGGTTATATTGGAAAGGGACCTTGCATACCTGCGTTGCGTTCAACATTGCAGGGGTAACATGCACATGTTGTGGCCAGTTGGAACGTAGAAAACTGCCTAATATTGAATCCATCTAGTTCACTGTTGTCTTCACTGACCGGCCATGACTCTCTAGGGTTTCAGATGGGGGACATTCCCAGTGCTACCTGGAGTTTCTGGGAATTAAACCTGGAACATCATGATTGCACAGCGGATGCTCTACCACTGAGCTACATTCCTTCTGCAATGAAATTAGAATGAAACTGTATCACTGTAGGTGTTTAAGATGAATGCTGCTGGTGTGTAGCAGATGAAATTCAGTGGTGACCTTTCACAAAGTCAAGGATACATAGTAATAAAGAATGTCATGGATATTTTTTGAAATCAGCTCCGGCATGGGCTGCTAATTTTATACTGCATAGAAATGAAAGTTTTGATAAGTACAATGTTGCACCGGTGGGCATGGCAGGACTTCCTTTCCTCCTTCCTACAACCTCAGATGGCCTCCAGAGCACATCTGGGTAACTGCAGGGGCTGTGGCAGGGAGGGAGGGAGGATGAATAAATCTATTTTGTGCTAGTGAAAGTTGGTTGTGTAAGTGGGGTGCTGCATCTGGCTATCATTCTTAGATTCTCCCTGTTGCAGACCTAAAATGAAATAAGCTCTGCCCATGAATATGTACTCATGTATAGAAGTATTACATTATTGTTAAGCCAGTGTGTTATTGAAAGGATGATATATAAATACTCTTTGTTAAGAAAAGATAAAATTACAAGAGCAACTAAAGCATTATCAGGAAAATGTCTTTTATGAGAATTAGCCAAGAAATTGCCAGAGTTTGTATGTAATAATACACTGTTGTTTGGTGTTGTGAATAAGTGGCTCAGGCTCACAGACACCCTCTCATCTTTGCCCTCAAGAGCAGCAGGTTGAAAGTGTTCACTTTCACTTTAGGGAAACCATCAATTCCTGTTACGTTCAATCTTGGGAGGCCCTGCCTTATTTTAACCGTGACTAATTAAAACAAACCAGGATAGCAAATGTCGTTTGATCCTGATTTGTTAACAAGTCATAGTTAGAATAAGCTAGTTTCTTGAGTTCAGACGAAAACAGGAAATTCATTTACTCAAAATATAAGTTTTCCAACTCTGCAAAGTATAACCTTTCAACTTCCCCATGTGAAAAGGGAGAAGTGGAAGAAATCCTCTATATCAGTGGTTCTCAACCTGTGGGTCCCCAGATGTTGTTGGACTACAACTCCCATCATCCCTGAGCTCTGGCCTTGCTAGCTAGGGATGATGGGAGTTGTAGTTCAACAACATCTGGGGACCCACAGGTTGAGAACCGCTGCTCTATATTGTAGCAAACTTTGCTGGGCTCAATTCTGCTAACCCGGCTGCTAGCAGAAGCCTCTGCAATGACTTCCACTATTGCAGCGGGGCTCCCCCCCCCCCACTGCCTCCCCCCCCCCACAATTGGCTGAAGGGGGATTGAGAGGACCCCTCAAACAGCACAGATTGTTCAATCAGGCAAGCAGAAATGTTTGCGCCATCAGAGTTGTCTCCTTAAGGCTACATTCCTCCCATTTTGTCTGAACCAGGATTTTAACTCTTAAAAGATGTGTGAAAGGAATAGCAGTCATATTGGAACTTTGTTAACTCAGGACTGGTGTTTGTAGTTCAGCGTTATCTGACATGGAATTACTCGGAATACTTTTGTAGAATTTATGTGTCAGAAAAGAAAAACAATGTAGCAGCGTGTTGTGGACCTTTATATGTGCAACATGGCAAACATTTTTTGTTATACAAATATAAAAGAAGCACATCTTGAGAAAGCACAGGAGAAATAGCTGTGTTTAAGTTTTAGCAGTCTCCTTAGTTGATAAAATTTGGTGAATATTTGCATTTCAACTGTTTCTTTCAGTGAGGTGATGGATATTTTTTAAAAAGTAGCCATCAAAACCTTGTTTCTTGGATGCAGAGAGAGCTGCAGGGCCTGGACACAATCTGAGGAACTGTATCTGACTGGATTTATCCTGGAGAAGAAGACAAAGGAGCATGAGTACTGTTCTGATTTTTGTATAGGTTCAGTAAAAATGTAGGACTATCACCCTTTGAGTTTCAAATGCAAGTATATTAATCGTTCCTTATATATATATATTAGAGCTGTGAACCTAGGATTGCCATACGTCTGGGTTTTCCCAGGAATCGGGCTCGGAAAATGGCGTTTGGGCGGATTTTTGCCAAATTGACAAAATGTCAGTGAAAACCCAGACGTATGGCAAGCAGAGCAATTTTTAAAAAACCAAGCTTTAAAAAGCCTTTAAAGAACCTAAAAAATTAATGGGGAGTGGGGGGAGATGTTCCCAAAAATGTCCGGATTTTCACTGTAGGGAGTATGGAAACCCTTAATGAACCAGTTAGAATTTATTACCTCTTCAGCAATGTTAATAATGGCTTCAGTTCAGATGACACAATTAGAAAATGCTTCTGTTGATTAATGCATGGTTTGGGAATGTCTCAAAGGTTTAGAGGATCACTTGGGGGGTATCTCAAGTTTTAAAACCCACTCACATTTTAAAATCTCCATTTTTATTCCACCAGTACTAATTTACTGATTATGAGATGCTTTCACTTCTAACATTACATATGACAGTACAAATATTTTTATTGCTTAGCTCAGCATATTTTATACGTTAAATCCTAGTCAATGTCTGCATACATCATGACTGAAAATTCCTTTTTCCTTTCTCTCACCCTGTGAAATGAGAAATTTAGAAATGAGAGCAGTAATTAATTTGTCTGATATGCCTATCCTGCATTCATCTAAAAGAATACCCTTCTGCCCATTATATACCTTATAATTACATGCCCCGCATGGGTCTTGCATTTAAATCTTCTTTGTGCTCTCTAGTGGCATTTCATAATGTTGCCAGCTTGGAATTACACAACTTACATGGCAGATCATGCTGAAAAGTAGATTCCTCTATATTCCTAAGTTGTGAATGCATATATATACATATACATACACACACACACACACACACACACAGAGAGAGAGATACTTCTGTGTCTTACTTTCCATACTTGTTAATGTTTACATAATTACCACTGTCTTACATTTAATCCAAAGACTATATATATATATATATATATATATATATATATATATATATATATATATATGAGAATTAGTGATGCCAGTTGTAAATAGGAAAGGCCCTGTATACTGAAATAGGGGGAGGGGGGAATCTGATTACATTTAGTTAGGCTTTGGTTGACCAACTTTCAACAAAGGTTGAAATTGCAAATTATGTTTGTGTAACATAGATTTTACCCCATTTTTCAATTTTAAAAATGCTCAGGGTGTCATACAGTATAGCGCAGTGTTTCTCAAACTTGGGCCCCAGCTGTTTTTTGGACTACAACTCCCATCATCCCTGACCACTAGTTCTGCTGGCTAGGGATGATGGGAGTTGTAGTCCAACAGCAGCTGGAGATCCAGGTTTGAGAAACACTGGTATAAAATAACAAGAAAATACAGAAAAATAATTTGTAAAACAGTTCCTACTGAAACATGTCAGGGATATTAACAAACGACTGCAAACATGCATGCACCGGCAAACAAGTTCAGTTGAAGCTGTAGGGGATTGAATCGCAATTTTAGTCAGTACGTACTAAGCACTTATGGAAAAATAACAGCATTTCAGTACCTACATATAACATATCAACATTTAGAGCTCTGGTGATGCTTGACTTATATTTGAGGGTAGGGTGCCCTTAGCCATCATATATAGTCTTTGAACATAATATTATTAGAATTATAAAACTTGAAGCAGAAATTCATTAGATGATGATACAGAGCTTCATTATTACCTCTAAAATGTCTGTGTTACGCTCCTTCCTGTGTATATCTTGAGAGACCGAGGGGGAAGGGGAAGATTGTCAGAAATCATCCAAGAGCCGAGCTGCTGCTCACAGAAGGTGCCTTGCCTCATTTTGAGTGATCAGTCCCTGTTAACCCCCACACTCGAGCCCACCCCATTTAGCAGGTTCCCCTAACCCTAAAGAGAGACGTTTCAGGCAGCTTGTGGAGCTGTAGGTGGGAGAAGGGGGCAAGAAAGTCACCTTCCACCAACTCCCTTCGGTCACAGTTTCTCTGGATCCAGCTTCTTCGTTGCTCCTTTGCTGAATTTTCTATTGCAGCCTCCCTGGGACAAGTACCTGTTCCTTTGTACTCTGTAGATTGGAATGCATGCTAATGGCAGTACATAAATAATAGATACAAGTGTCTTCAAATGAGAGATTGGGGGTGAATTCATTTAATGGTCGTCTTTGATTTTGTTTCAGAAAGCATCTGAGATGTTATATTTGTAGCAAGTTCAGAGTTAACAAATCATTCTACATAAAAACAAGTAAGACCCTCTGAATTAGGATTGCCTTGCCTCTTTAAAAAATACATATTGTAAGTGATGCTCTCTGGAGTTTTCCGCGTACATTTTTTAAAAAAACAAACTGAGAAATACCTGACGCATAGTGGGTAGCCAGTAGGCTTTCTGCAGGGGTTACCACTGAGAGTTGACAGAGGGCAGCCTGGCAAATGTTCAGAAACTCGCATTAACTTTGTTGAGCTCGGCATGGGACCTTGTGTTCGGCAGAATTCTCCTGACCTGCCTCTCTGCATGCCGAGCTAATCAGCAAACACCTAATGAGCCTGCTCTAAAGAAACAGACCCTCTCCCAACCTACTTCATTTTCATAGATTCTCTGGGGGGAGGGGAGAGACAAGACTTCATAAGGACTGATGATGCTGCAAAGACCACAATAATGATAATTAACTTGCTGAATTTAGAAGATTATGCTGTTAATTAGTTGCAAAATAAAGATAAGTAATAGAGCAGCAGATGGTAAGATAACACCCAGGAGAAGGAGGGTTATTACTCTGATGAGGTTTTGTGGCAGATATGAAATATGGATCTGACTTTTTCATAAATTGTTTCTACAATATATCCTCTTGTTTCTGTGAACTCGTGATGGAGTGATCTATTCCTACCAATTCTGACAGATGTGATGGGGATTTATTTTGAAGGGTATACATATTTTTTATACTAAAAAGATGCCTTTGCTGTTCAGGATTAGAATGTCGTCAGTGTTTCAGCAATATTGCAAATACAAATTGAATGACTATCAATGTACTTCATCATTTCTAATTATACTTTAAATATGTATTTTATTATATCACTGGAGAGAACATTAACAATCACTATCAACAGTATGGTGCATTGAATAAAGAGCTCAATTCTACAGCTTAGTGGGTAGCCTTGAGCAAATTTTCTCTCAACCTTACCTACTTCGTCGGGTGGTTGGGGGTACATGTAAATTGCCCCAAGCTCCTTGGAGGAAGAGCAGACTTCCAAATGGTGGTAATGAATCTACTTAACATGTTGAAATTATTGGGTCGATTATTGGAACATTTTGGTAAACTATGAAGGCTTTAAAATATTTGAGACTATTTAGGAACAACTATTCAAACTTGTTACACAGGATTGTCCCAGAAAGCATGGCATTGTTTTGCACTTTTCCTATAGGTGTTGTGATTTCCCTTGTCCTGTGACTCAGCTCTCCAAGTTCATCACTCCTTTCTTTAGTGACTTGGTCCATTTTTTGTCGATTAATGCTATGGTGGGGGCAAGGAGTGGATAGCCCAAATTGTTCAAGTCCTTGGGGACTTGAGGCATCCCTTCTCAGAAGCGGTTGTTGCCCTGCCTCAGCAATTTGACTGCAGAGAATATAGTCCTGAAGGATGAGGACCTGGTGCCGGCTGAGCCAAAATACTTCTGTGGCTTGTGAATGTTTCTGTGAATATATAGCGATATATTTCCCAGTTGAGGGGGTTGGGAGGTTGCTGGCTGAGTGAAGCAGCAGGTTCTGAGCCAGTTTTGCTTTGCTCCTTAAGCAAAATAGCTTGGGGAGGGGGACAGCTGTGGTCAAGCCATAAGCAAGTATGAGAATGGACGGGAAATGGACCTAAAGGCCATCAGCTGGATATTCCTTCTATAACCATATATACTATATAGTTAGAAAGACAACGTAATGTTTTTAGGGGGTTTAAAATAGGGGGGGGGTTGCATTTATTAATTTATATTTTATCATTAAAAAAAAATCAAATATAAAGCAGTAAAATGATACACAAGAAAAGGAAAAAGAACAAAACACAGAACTGTGTAAAGGTGGTAAACATTATATGAATATATACAAAAAATATATACAAAAAATACCCTAACCCATACATTCTTTTATAGTTTTGATATTATCCTAATATGAATAGAAATATTAGCAGTCTGTTACATTTTGTATAAATTCGTTCCAAATATTGTCATGTTTATCCAACCAGAGTCTATGTCTGTAAGCAGTCCATTCGTAGGTTGCAAGTGTTACCATATTATCAACCCACTGATTAAAGAACGTAATATTTTTAGTGATCATTTTTAGTTATTGAACTATGGAACAGATGCCTATTGTTATCCTCTGGTCCCTTTGATGTTTTTGGTACTTGTATTTGGCCAAAAGGACTGGATCACTTTGGGGGGGGGTGTACAACTCACATCACAATCTGAAGTACCCCCTCTTACTAGCTCAGAAATATACTCATACCTTAAGCATATAATAGTATTTTTGCTAACCATTTTAACTCTGTGTTTCATACCCATCATCTTGTTCACATTGTGGATCTATAACTTTTTGGAACTAGAAGAAGTGGTATTAGTTCTTTGTAAAAGGAAAAAGACATGGGAGGCAAAATGAAGTACAGGCAACTGTTGTTTTAGGCGTGACTGATGTGTGTGCAGTTGCGCATATGTGCACAGCATTGAACCTGGAAGTGACCTGGAAACGTCATAAAAGACATCACCGAAAGGGTGGGGCGGAGGCAGAACAGCTGCAGAATGGGGTGTTTCAGTTGAACACAATTTCACACTGAAATGCAAATCCTGTGCAAATCGGGGGTTGCCTGTACAGTGGTACCTCGGTTTAGTAACAGCCCTGTTTACGAACTATTCAGTATAAGAACTCCACAAAACTGGAAGTAGTGTTCCGGTTAGCGAACTTTACCTTGGTCTACGAACGGAAGCCAAATGGTGGAAGGACACCAGTGGCGGGAGGCCTCATTAGGGAAAGCGCGCCTCGGTTTAAGAACGGTTTCGGTTTAAGAACAGACTTCCGGAACAGATTAAGTTTGTAAACCGTGGTACCACTGTATATGCTTAGAATGAAAGTAGTTGGTTGTTTCCAGTGCTGTGCGAGTGGATGTGCACTTGCACAAGGGAAGTTTCCTCCCTTCTCATGGCAGCACCCTGCACCCTCCCAAAAGCCTCTCCTGGAATTTTGGGGGCCTTCATGAGAGGTATGGAATGGAGCTGCTGCAGCAGGAGGAGGAGAGTCTCCGAAAATTGGGCATGAGCAGCTTTCACAGGCAACTCTTAAGCTAGTGAACAACTCTTAAGCTAGCTGAGTAAGTTGACTATTGCTGCCTGCAATTGTTCATCGTGGAAAAAATCATTTTTGTCTTTCAGCGATTAAAAGCTGCCTTAACCCAGCAGCACTCTCAGGTCACAAATGGAGATACTGCAAAGGGACAAACAAGTGGATTGGTTAGAACTCAGTCAGAGGAAGCACGGCCACAGTCGCTGCAGCAGCCTGCTACATCTACTACTGAAACACCGGTAAGAAACCTTGCTTCTGATTCTGTTTGCTACCATATAAACATCCTAGATTACTTCCTGACAGACTCTTAGCTTAGTGTTATGTGCAAACCAGCAATCTTGGCTTACAACAAACAAGGTTGCTAAGCAAGGTAACTTTATAACCCATGGTTTGTAGCTGACTTGTTTCGTGACTATTCTTTGTTCAGGCTCACGGAGGCTCATTCACTAAACCATGGCTTAGCATTACATATGAACCAACCCTGTGTTGCAAGTGCTTGAACTCTTACACCAAATATTTTTTAATCCTAGAATTTCCTCTTTTTCAATACAAAGAGAGAGAGAAAATACAAAGAGAGAAACCCCACCTTAAAGTGGGGGTGGAGAAGTCATTTAATTCAGCTCCACTCTGCCTCTATAATAGTATATTCTATGTTGTATCTAGTGGTTGTGCAATTGGTTCACACAACCAATCTATCGTTTGTCTTCCCCTCTGCATCCCTGAAAAGCTTCTCCAGAGGGGGAGCCTAGTAAATATTGTGGATTTTTAATTAATTTGTTTTTTACAGGGTTGCAGTGGGGTTGGGAGAATGGCTCAAATTTGGGTAGGGTAATCTTTCATGAATTGGAACTTTAGTGCTGTATTGCCAACCTGTGTTTGATATGTCTGCTATAGCCAACATGTCAACAGTGCATTTTGTTTTTACTTTGAAACTCTTTAAAGATTGCATGTGTTCAATTTATATTCTGCACTAAATGAGACCATTATAGTCAATGCTGTGTGATATATTAGAGGAATGTGAATTTCTGTCCAAAGTCTAAGCTTGAACTAAAAGTTTTGTGGCAGTGAACTCTGGCATTCCTTGCTTCTTGCAGGCTTCTCCAGCACAGCTTGCACCGCAAACGCCAAATACAGGGGGTCGACGACGAAGGGCAGCAAATGAAGATCCCGATGAGAAAAGGCGGAAATTCCTAGAGCGGAATAGGGCGGCAGCATCAAGGTGTAGACAAAAAAGAAAAGTTTGGGTGCAGTCTTTGGAGAAGAAAGCTGAAGACTTGAGCTCGTTAAATGGTCAATTACAGGTACTTCCTTCTGCTTGTTTGTAATTTTAAAACAATAATCTGATATTGTAATACAATAATTAAGGGCAATAGGTGGAATTCAACGCTATGCCAATACAGTGGTACCTCGGGTTCCATACGCTTCAGGTTCCATACGTTTCAGGTTACAGACTCCGCTAACCCAGAAATATTACCTCGGGTTAAGAACTTTGCTTCAGGATGAGAACAGAAATCATGCAGCAGCGGCGCAACAGCAGCAGGAGGCCCCATTAGCTAAAGTGGTGCTTCAGGTTAAGAACAGTTTCAGGTTAAGAACGGACCTCCGGAAAGAAATAAGTTCTTAACCCGAGGTACCACTGTATGATTGTTCTACTTGCCAGAAAGGATGCTCTCCTTTTGATTTTTGGGTAGGGGAGGAAAGGAATCTTTTGTTAGCTTCCACTATCAAAGTTGGTTAATTGAATCCATTTAACAGGTCCAGAGCACACAGTGTAATTTTAGGCTCGTCCAAATGATGTGTGATTGCCGGCACACGGCCGGGGGGGGGGGGCGGACATCATAGGGTGGAGTGCTGGGAACTGAACCCCATCGCCCCATAATATTTCATCTTTCCTTCCCCATAAGTGTCTCAGGAGCTCCATTTCTTTTACCTTCTCCCCAAAAAGAGATGGGGAAAGGGTGCAAACTCTGAATATCTGGAACTTTCCCCAATGAGGTGCACATAGGATGAGGTGAGGTTACAAGTGGCCATCGGGCATTGCATATAATGCAAGCCTGCTTTGAGAGGCGTGGTGGGCGTGAGCTGCTTGTACCCATTTCACAGAATAGATATGCTCCAGCAAAGTTTCCAGAGCCAGTCACGTGTATCTACCCATGCATTATTTTAAAAAACCCGAAGACAACCGAAAGATTGAAGGTCAAAGATTTTTGCCTTCTTGGCTAGTCCTTCACTCTACGTAATTTAAAATGTTTCTGTTTGTGACAGGAGAGGTATAATGGAATATGAAGTAGAAACAAATGAGAGACCAGTGTAACGTAAGTGCAGGAAGCCTGTGTGTATGATTGGCAAGGCTGGCAGTAGCTAATAAGTATATACACAAAAACATCTGGAGGGCACCAAATTGGAGGAGGCTGGCCTAGAATACATGTTACCTCATCTATGTTTTCATTTGCATTAAAAGACAATGGACATTTCTGTATGGATTTTTCCTACTTAAACATATTTTTATAAGCATAGACTGGAACACACACACACGGCAGAGTCTCAAGGGTTAATCTCTTTCATGTAAAGCAGAGGTGTTTTTTATAGTCTGCCAGCAACAAAGCTGGCAAAGGTGAAGAACAGAATGATTTGTAAAGGAAATTGAACGGCAAATAAATTATTTAAACTCTTCATTATCTGAAAATATTAATCCTGTATTCCAAAATGATTCATCATTTGATAAAGCAGGCACAGCTGTGTAGTAATAACCCATGATGGCTTAAGTTGAATATGTGTTTTGATACGTTTGGCCTTCCACAGCATGTTAGCTGTGAAAAAGTGCTGGTTCTCATTCTAGTTTTGTCAATTTTACAAATTAAACGAGCTGGGGGAAACTGTTTGAATCATATGAATATGAAATATAAAAATATTACTGTATGGTGAGGCTCACTTTCAGAGTTTAGATAAAGTGGGCTCAACCTTTGGCTCTTCTTGCTGGACTTGTTGTTTTAGCTACAGCAGAAGAACCCCCAGCTTCTGCCTCAGCAGAATGAGGTCAGACGAATATTGATACTTGCATCGTTTGCACAGCGACATTTAAAAATATTGGGAGATCAATGGAACTATGTCCAGTATATTTTAAATTCCCCACTTCCTTAATGTATTCATCTTAAATATGTCACATTAGAATTCTCCATTCAATTATCTGTAATGGCAAAAAAAAAATAGTCAATGCCAGTCCCTTAAAATGTGGTGCACAACATTTTGATATCTATATCGGACTGCATATAGAAGCAAGAGATCAAAAGGAGTTGAATGTAATAGGCCAAATGTAAAGCAACTCCCAATATTTTCTTTGAATGTACAAAACAAACAAGCTGCTTAGCCAAAACTGCTGCAGTTCACAGATAAAGCGTTGTGTTAATGTGCCTAGAAATTGTGTGCTGTGTCTTGTATTTGTCTTTACGAAAGCTTGTAAATCTCAGTTTGAAATGGATGTAACTTGATCCTGGTAAAGTATATAAATTTTTTCTTCTTCTTTAGAGTGAAGTCACCCTGCTGAGAAATGAAGTGGCGCAGCTGAAACAGCTTCTTCTAGCTCATAAAGATTGCCCTGTAACAGCCATGCAGAAGAAGTCTGGCTATCATAGTGAGTAATGTTCCATTACCTATATAGCCTTAGGCTGTACCAGTGAAATACTGCCAAAGCAAACAGAGATAACATTACAACGGAGAAGTGATGTTCAAATACTTCACTTTAAATATAACAATTCCTACAAGGCTGTTGCAAGATAAATGCAATGATATATTGAATCTTCTTCTGGATTCTTACAATTTTTAAAAAAGTATTCAGTTACAGCATGGTATGTATTAATATTTAGAGATTGTATGCAGTTTAATAGTATCCAATTACTTTTTTTTACTAAAAAAATAAAATTAGTTATTTCACAGGTCATAGCTGTGAGATAGAATCTCTTTATGTTGTTTACCGGTCTTTCCACCAGAAATAAAATGAAATAAATGTTTACCATAATTTTATTCGGGGAAGGAATAATGAGCTTTAATGCTAATGGTAAAAGTAAAATTTATAAAACATTGGAAAAATGTTCTTAATGCTTTTACTTTTTCAGCATTTCAAAGGTTAATTGTGTGTTTCTTTCTTTTCTTTTTGGACATAATACCCAGCGCTAGAACCAGCTGCTGCTGTAGAATAAATGGCCAATTTTGTCCATTGTACACAAATTTGTAACAAATAACTGAGCTGGGAATGCATTAGGCAACATTCATAATATATAACCCACAGCTTTCATTTTTATGATTTAGTGATATTTCAGTATATTTGTAAATGTGAAGATTGTTTCTGCCATATGTAGCCACTTCATTTTAATTTGCCAGTGTCAGTAATTTAGGAGAATAAAAGAACATTTTGTATTGCATGCGAACAGTTCCTCAGGTGCTTGCGATAAAACTTAATGGCCACCATCTTTACTTGTAGTCATTGTAAGCAGTTTCATCAGAATGGGCAATATTTTTTAATTTAAGAGATTCCGGAGATTTAGCAACACTCTGTGGCTGTATATATTTAGAACTCTGATTTTGTCAGTTTTGAGCTTATAAATCTCGGTCCTTTTGATCTCCAGTCATTTGACAGGATGGAAAGTGGCATCTTGGAGCAAATTGAAACCGTGCAGAAATATGTTTTGAATTTATATTAACAATGATTGTTGCAGGGATGAGGCCATTATGGTTCCCATCTGACAAAACAACATTATTCCATATAGAAGCAGCTATAGGATTACATTATGCATGCATAGTTTGCTGAATGTGCTTAGGTGTCTTGAATGCTGATATTATGAAAGAGAACTATCTGGTTGTACATTTAGCTTGCAAGTTTAAAGTACTAACACAGAGAGAAAGTGCATACTCCAAAATTTGCACTATTGTTGCAAACTCATTTGCAGTGTGTGTTGTCACTGTTGGCGGATATTGGATTATGGTCTGCAGGAATAACTATACATAATTGCTCATTGTAAATATGCAATAAGATGGATTGGACGGAATCAGATTTAAAGGGCAGGGTTCATCTATAGAGCCCCGTCGCTGGAAGAAGCCCAGTGGAAGGACTTCCACTAGCTCAGTGAGGCTCTCCCTCAAAATTGGCTGGGGGGGCGGTGTCAGAAGAAAACCCATGTTGAGGTGGAGGCAGGATTGTTCCATCTGGCATGCTGATATGGTTGCACAGATGGAACATTTGCTTGACCTTGAATTCCATTCTGTAGTCTGTAGAGCCTAGCATATTCTTAATAAGGTGCCTCAGCTACATTATGAAAATACTGAAAACAAGTGATACAACTCACTGAAGCCTTGAAGAAAGCAAGAGGGATAGTAGAAGCAACTTCCTAGGGGACTACCACCAGTCCTTCTTTATTTTATTAAATTTGTATACCACCCTTCACTGAAGATCACAGGGCAGTTCACAACATAAAAACACAAAATAAGAACACAAAATGCACCATGAAACAAAAGCTTCTTCTTTATGTTGTGCTAGGCCAGTGTGAGAGCCAGTGTGGTGTAGTGGTTAAGAGCGGTAGACTCATAATCTGGGGAACCGGGTTCGCGTCTCCGCTCCTCCACATGCAGCTGCTGGGTGACCTTGGGCTAGTCACACTTCTTTGAAGGCTCTCAGCCCCACTCACCTCACAGAGTATTTGTTGTGGGGGAGGAAGGGAAAGGAGAATGTTAGCCAGTTTGAGACTCCTTAGGGTAGTGATAAAGCGGGATATCAAATCCAAACTCTTCTCTTCTAGGCAATGTTCGCATCTTCCTCAGGCACCATCTTAGATGTTTAGAATAAACTAAGCATAAACTCTGTAATAATTGCTACAGCATCTCTGACCTTGTGCAGGTCCTTAACTGGCAAGTTCATGCACATTAAAGGTGAAAGCGCAGTACCAAATGGCTTCACTTGAAAAAGGCTACATCCATAACTGACACGGTGTAATCCTTAACTGTGATGACGTTTCAGGAGATTCCCTCAGAGAAGATCCTGGTGTACTGGAAGCATTTTTTAGACAAGTCTGAATTAGCGATTCTTCAGTGCAAAAGCCAGCTATTTGGGAAAGGACTTACAGTAATTAATTGCTGTGGGTCTCAAGTCCCTGTGAGCAGAACTCTGCTTGCAAGATGCTCCCATTAGGGGAAGTGGGATGCAGAATTGAGAATTCCCCCTGCAATTCTTGGTGTCCCCCCTCCCACAAAAAGGAGTAGTTTTAGAGAGTTGGGAGAGGTAGTGCTTGGTGCTGCAAATTGCCTCTTCACCCACCCACTGTCTTGTCAGTGTCATCCTTCAGTGGAAGCAAATCAGGATCCAATGCTATGTTTGAGGTAATGTCCTCAGAAATGCTTTATCTGTCGAGTCTTCATTTGCTTTTGTTCAATGGTCTTGATAACATAGGTGCCTGCAGATACAAAAAAACAGCTGTGTCAGAATGTAGAATTTACCTATACTATAAAATTATGTTATTAAATGTACAGCTTTTTCTCCATCATGGCCACTTTATAGGGTTGATGAAAATTAAAATCCTCTTAAGTTGATTGATGTGTCCATCTGTGATGTGGAAAAGTTTCCACTTTTGCTTTATTTTTTACAAAAATATTCCACTTTCGTTTCATAAAATTAATTAATAATGTAATGAATGATTACAATACATGTTACATTGGACAACTAGAATGGTTGCAGTGCTGGTTCAATCAAAAGTCAGAGTTATATTTAACTTTTTTCAGTTGTTTTCCAGGAAACATACATTTATGCACACAGCTCTTCAAGTATGCTAAAATTCTTATGTTAAGTTGTCAGTGCCTTCCTTTCCCCCCCTTAAAATCTAAATAACAGAAGGGAACTGCATGCACTTGAGCTGTCACATCTTAAAATATTTAGGTATTCCACTAAAAATTCCCAAAGTTCTTGAATTTGTTAGAACATAACTTTAAAATAGGTGCAGGTAGGTAGCCGTGTTGGTCTGATGCAGTTGAAATAAATAAAAAAATTATCTAGTAGCACCTTAGAGATGAACTAAGTTTGTTCTGGGTATAAGCTTTTGTGTATCTGAAGAAGTATGCATGGACCCGAAATCTTATACCCAGAACAAACTTGGTTGGTCTCTAAGGTGCTACTGGACAATTTTTTTATTTATTTAAAATAAGTGTACTTTTTCCTAATCCAATATTTCAGTCCCACTGCTTTGGCTATCGTCAAAATCCTTCAGGTAATTTATACAACATATGGAACTAGCATCTCATATTCTAATTGCACATTTCATTGACGAGGACATGGAAATGTTTTTGTTTTCTTTTTCAGCTACAGATAAAGATGATAGTTCCGAAGACATTTCCGTGCCAAGTAGTCCTCACACAGAAGCTATTCAGCATAGTTCGGTCAGCACTTCCAATGGTGTAAGCTCAACCTCCAAGGCAGAAGCAGTGGCTACATCGGTTCTCACCCAGATGGCAGACCAGAGTACAGAGCCAGTGCTTTCGCAGATTGTAATGGCTCCTCCATCTCAGTCACAGCCTTCAGGAAGTTGATTAAAAACTTGCGTTGTTTTTAGATACTCCTTAGCAACTTCAAAGGGAAACCAAGGAAAGCAGCCTTCATTTAGGAGAAATCTGTAGCTTAAAAATGATTCATCTGTAAAATTCAAACTTGAATTTGGCTTTGAAAGTTGGCGAACAGGAATGGCACAGCGGGTTGTAGTCTCTTAACAGACACCAAGTTCATTTTCCTTTCCTAATTAGGATTGCTAGTTATTTTCAGTGCTCGTCATGTAAAGTGTCGGTACAGTTTAAATGTACTTACTACTTTAATTTGGTGGTATTCCAAGCAGTCACGTAAAATGCTCACCCCAAAAAACTGTGATAGTAATCTTGTAATATTTTATACCAAAGTTCTGCATAGAATCCTATTGACTTCGTAAACTCTACAAGATCATTAAAGCACTAGGCAAGAGAAAAAGACAGGAACAGGAAATTTGCTTTTAGTCTTTTTTGCCTTTATATTGTTTTGCACATTATGAGAGGGGGAAAAACTTTGGGAGAATATGTTTGATTATATTGTGTAGCATTTTCTTTGGCTTTTTAACTGTTTGGGTATTTTTAAAGAATTTTGTTTAACAGGGCCAGTACAGTATATGGAATACAGTACTTTTTATGCACATATGTAATCTTGATCAGGGTCATTACTAGCTAGATTTTCTTTTTTAAAATAGATGTCAGCTTAGCTAGCACTTCCATTTTATAAAATCAGGAGCTTTGCTTCTGCTGCAAAAACAAAAACCTGCAGCTATACCCTCTTACTAAACAGCCAAGAACAACGGAAAGATTCTGAACAGGGTTGTGAAAGATGGAATACTTTTTCAAAGCTCACTTGATATTTTGTGGTTTCTTGGGTCTTAAAGAGGAGCTTATTCATACTGCAAGATAGTATGGGTGCCAGGAAAGCTTGAAATTCCCTCATCAAACTACTCAAGACCTTTTTTTTTTTGTTATTGTATTGTATTTGCAAGGTAACTTGTACTTTATTCTTGTGTAAGCACTGTCATCTTTTAGTAGCAAAATTTTGATACTTTTCTTGTGGGGAGAAAAAAAATCAATATTTACCGTACCGTGGAAACAATGTAATTATAGTGTGACGTGTGTATGTGTGTATGAATGAGAGAGCGAGAGAATGGTTCAGTAGTTACGCCGGCAATCTGTGCTTGAATGTTTAAAGATGCCTTCAGTGTGATGCTGGCTTGGTAGGTGATTGCAGTTTTTGAAATGTTATTTACCGTGTGAATTTGGATAACTAACATTCCATGATGTAGTTTGTTTCTGATAAGATGATTGTAGGTACACTTTTTCTCATTATCCAATCATCTGCAGGATATTGAGTTTTTTAATGTGCCATTATCTATTTTAATTCTGTACTCATGTTAAAAATATATAATATTTTACGATTAAGTTGTAAAAGTGCAAAAAGAAAAAAAACAGGTATGTGCTGTCATACCAGAAAAACTTTGCATAACAGCAGAGAAAAACTACACAGTAGCAGCATCTGGCAGTAAAAAAAGAATTCCATTATGTATATAACAAACATTTAATGCATTTATTGTGGGTTTGTGTAACTCATATGTTCTATGCTCTGTTTTAACCTAGGGTGCCATCAAACTATGAAACATTCAGTTTTAAATCATTGGATTTTAATTGGTGGTAATGGCAGAGAGCAACTCTTAATTTGTATGATTTACAACCAAACTAGAATGGAAGCTGAACAAAGTCCTAAAATTATGTATATATCATTTCAGTGCTTTAAGTCTGAAAATAAGAATTTAAATATTTTGTGTATTAAAAATGTAAGGAAACAAGGTTTTTTTTGCATAGTTTGCAAAAAGTGCTCCAGACACCTTCATTTTATCAGTTTTTAAAGGGTTAATTTCAGAAACAAGCTTTAATTTTATTTTTATTTTTAACCCACAAGTATAGTGACGAAGTCTCCAGCACAAACTGTGAATTCTATAAAAAAAATCCTCTCTGAAGGATTCAACTCTAGTCACACTGGGATGGAGATGTGAATTCAGTTGAAAGCAATGCAGTGCAGGTATATGACGTGTGTATGTGTGCCTGATGCATACTCATGGCTTGCAATTCCACAAGTTCATATACACGTAGAAGCCTGCTTCCACACATACTCCTCCTCCTATGGATCGGAGTGGAGAGTGTTTGGATTGGATGAACAAAGTGGTTATGTTTCCTCCACTAAATCTAGGCATAATCTTATTTAATACAACGTTTTTTGTTGGGGTTTTTTTTTAGTAATAAAGCTGTTGCTGTTGTAAAGTAAATCTAAATATGTGCAAGGAGAGATGTAAATGATTTTAATGAAGGGATTAGTTAAAATCCTGTGTTCCGCAAACAAGAGAACAGTTGTATAACCATAGATTCCGTTTTAAAATGTATGTCACACTACTTCTGTACTTCGCATTCGAGATCCTTGCATTTGACATGTTTCACAAACTGTACTGTTTTTCTTCAATGTGCAGTTTGCATGAGTAAGTCATCAGAGAATAAAATCTATCTTTAAATTGTATCTACTGCATTGCAATTCTAACTTCTGAAAGGCCAAGATGGCATCAGATTTCTTTTCTGCTGCAATGGTTCCTGCCATTTCTATAGAATTGAAACGCTTGCCCTGATGGCCTTAGCATAACATTGAAATCTTCCCACAATATTTTTTTTAATGTTTTTAATGCTGCTTTGAGCAACTTCTTAGTGGGGAAAGTTGGAACTGAAGAGAGCCTGGACATCTTTCTATTTACAGTTTTACTTTCTCTGGCAATGGGGAAATAGGTTTGTCATTTGAGCTCCTTGTGGAATGCTTGTTCTTAAATGGGATGCAATACCAAAGAGCAACAACATAGTGTGTGTCTATAGACCCAGAGCCATTGCATGGCTTACATGTCTACTTGTGAGAAACTAGTCAATCTGTGAAACTAGTATTAGCAGCTGAGGTTGGGGTACACTCTCGGAGGCCAGAGGTTATACGGTTGTCTTTTTGAGCCTTCTAGTCGCTGGAAACAACACTGGTCTCTCGTTCCTTGATCTTTAGATCCTTGTTCCTGATTCTAGATCCCTTGCCTTGCTGTGTTATATCTTTTCTGAACTCCCTGTAAGATTGACCTTCAACTGTTGCCGGTTCTTGTTTCCGAATCATGTTTGGACCAAGACTGATTCTCCATGCTTGAATTTGCCTTTCCTCAGCTGCACTGCACCTTCAACCCATGTTGGCGAGTCCTAGGATGAAAGGCTTATACTTCCTGGGACTGAGACCCTAACCCTGAGGGCATGTGCACCTAATTCCCCCAAAGATCAGACTTTTTGCTATAAGGAAAAAGACAGGAAAACACATTAGAAAGGCTGAGACAACACTTGTTTGACACAATGTTGTCTAGCTCCCCGCAAACAAATCAGAATGATTGCTCATAAGCAGGTCTTCTGAGAGCAATCCTAATCTAGCTATTGGGGTTGCGTGTTCTAGAGGTAGAACATTTTTTGTAGGTGAATTGAGTTCCACAGTTGCATAAAGCTGTTCTTGCCACTACCGGGTCATCGAGCATTGAAGTGATCAATGTGTGCATCCTCTGTGATTTATAACAAAGAGGAGGATGTTTTGATTTCTTTGCCATAGCTTTTATTGTCCCATTCGATTAACAAACTGAGCAACCGTGCTGAAGGGCTAATTATTTTTGTGGAAAAAGTAGATAATGTGGCTAAATGAAGAACAGATGCTGTGTATTTGTCATTGAATGATAGAAACATTTGTTAGCTGCACTCATTGGCTCTATGAATTAAAAAAAGTTGGCAAGCTATGTACTACTTACCCATGTGTTGAAAATCAAGCACGAAAATTTATCGGGCAGGCTCAGAAGGACATTCTGAATTTTTGGGAATGTTGTCCCCTTGTCAGGGACAACAGACCGTAGCAACAAGCAGTGACTTTCTCCTTGCCTGCCTTTGTGGAGATGGGAGATCTCAGCTTGAGCACTACTTGACCAGTTACTAATGACAGAGCACACAATAGCAAGAATTGACTATTAGGCAAAATGGTTCTTCCTCTCCCATCCCTACTCCAAAAAAGACAAGCAGGAAGCCAGGGATTAGCTTGCCTAAACACTCAACTTCTGCTAGTGGCTACAGGCTTGGAGACATGCGCCAACATGTGCCAGAGACACTGAACTGGTATGATACCCATTATGATCACATGTGTGCCAATCTGGTATATATTCTATTTCCCTACTGACATGATGGCCCCTCAAAACCCTGTATGCAGGACTTCCTTTTATCTGATTTGAAACATCTTTGGATGAGCTTTCCTGTCACACAGTCTTCTCCAATCTAGTGCCTTCCAGATGTTCTGGACTCCCATCATTCCCAGCCCATAAGGCCAACGATCAGGGATGCTGGGAGATGTACAAAACATCTGTCCCAAGAGGGAGTGCTTGGATGCATCTGGGATTTTCCTTGAGATCTAGACTAGAAAAGCCTAGGAAGAGTGAAAGCAGCGTGTTGCCACATTGTGATGGTGGCTTTTGAACAATCTCCAGCCAATGCAAGAGTAATAGGTGCACATCCTGTTACAGTGGTGCCCCGCAAGACGAATGCCTCGCAAGACGGAAAACCCGCTAGACGAAAGGGTTTTCCGTTTTTGAGTTGCTTCGCAGGACGAATTCTCCTATGGGCTTGCTTCGCAAGACGAAAATGTCTTGCGAGTCTAGAGATTTTTTTTTCGCTTTTCCCCCCCTTTATCTAATCTGCTAAGCCTTTAATAGCCTTTAATAGCCTTTTAGCAGCTAATCCCCTAAGCCTTTAAGCCTTTAACAGCCGCTAAACCGCTAATAGCGCTAATCCGTTAAGCCGCTAATAGGGTTGCTTCGCAAGACGAAAAAACCGCTAGACGAAGACTCTCGCGGAACGGATTAATTTCGTCTTGCGAGGCACCACTGTATATTAAAATCTTGCCCCCAAGTTAAAAAACTTAATTTGCAAGTTACCAGCTTGGGGAGTTGCTGGACAGTTCCAAAAACAGATGTCTGGGTTGTATCTCTCCCCGTATATGGCTATTCAGTTGACTATGCTTATCACAGCAACCATCTGAATTGACAACCAGCTGGAAGTAAGGGCTCCAATGACCGTAATTGTGTCCAAGTATCCAATAATAACCTGGCTGCATTCCCCTTCTCGGAATCCAAACTGTTTCTGTTAGGTCCTGGATCCCTTCTGCATTACACCCAATGAAGAGAAGGTCTTGTGTCTTCTAAAGAAAGATAATGAAACCGCTAAGTGGAGCCATTTTTCCAGACTCAAGGACTCCAATCTAACCATTCTAGTGGGAGATTGTCAGGCTTTTAGAAAACAAAGTACTGTAATCCCCTCCATTAAATCACAGCGCAGTGGCAGGAAAAGCTTTATTAACAATTTTATGTCAGGGAAGCTCCCTACACCATACTTGGGAAGGAGTACTTTCTAGCATTCAGTGTCTACGTGGAAGAGAGTAACATCAGATCATTAGATTCTACAGAATGCAAGAAATGGTTATGGTTACTTGAGTTTTGTTTGCTTCCAGATCTGTATTCTCACAAGCCTCAGGCTCCTTCAGGGCACCACCTTCAGATCTGGGCTACAGAAACAGCTCTATACTTAGAGCAGTGATGGCCAAACTTGGCCCTCCAGCTGTTTTGGGACTACAACTCCCATCATCCCTAGCTAACAGGACCAGTGATCAGGGATGATGGGAACTGTAGTCCCAAAACAGCTGGAGGGCCAAGTTTGGCCATCCCTAACTTAGAGGATTGTATTCAACTAAATTCTACTCGGCATCAACCTGTTGAAATCAAGGAGCTTCAGTTAATCATGTCCATTGGTTTCACCAGGTCTGTTCTTTAACTTAGTTGGATACAGCTTTGTACAGATTGTATTGTTCTCCTGACAATTCCAAATAGAAAAGTGGGAAACCAGATATGACAAGGAGTTACAATGTCAGCAGTGAAGAAGTGAGATGTCTTACCTCCATATGCCTGATTGAGATCTCCATCAGATGTGTTTCCACATACCTATTAAGATATATCACTGGAGGTTCCTGCAATGTTATACAGAGCCATCTGAACAGACTTCAGCGTCCTGGAACTCTTCAAAAAGTTCTCAAGCCAATGGAGGCAAGGTGAGCTTTTTCATGAGTTGTTGAATTGATACCTCTTTTAAGAAGAACAAGACTACTTGTTCATTCAAAGATAGATTGACTACACTCTAGATCCACTCATTATGCATTAATAAGTCAAGTGGGTAAGGGTTGAAGCACCATGGCAGTTCCTCCCAGCTCACCCACTCAGGTCTCAATAATACACATCAGATAAGCACCATCATTAACTATACTGATCTGGCATGAAACACTAGCACACAGAGGATGGTGAGCACAGCAGATGAGCAACTGGAAACTTGAGAGTGAGGAACAAGGTGTCAATAGATGGGGGAACAGACAGGGGGAGATGTGATTATCCTTCTTAGAGTGGTAAAGGTAAATCCTCCATTATTTACCTGCTGGTGTAGCAGAAGCAAAAAGCAGGACAAGATTGTACGGCAAGTTTCCTACATATTTATAGAATCATAGAGTTGGAAGAGACCACAAGGGCCATCAAGTCCAACCCTCTGCCAAGCAGGAAACACCATCAGAGCACTCCTGACATATGGTTGTCAAGCCTCTGCTTAAAGACCTCCAAAGAAGGAGACTCCACCACACTCCTTGGCAGCAAATTCCACTGTCGGAACAGCTCTTACTGTCAGGAAGTTCTTCCTAATGTTTAGGTGGAATCTGCTTTCCTGTAGTTTGGATCCATTGCTCCGTGTCCGCTTCTCTGGAGCAGCAGAAAACAACCTTTCTCCCTCTATGTGACATCCTTTTACATATTTGAACATGGCTATCATATCACCCCTTAACCTCCTCTTCTCCAGGCTAAACATGCCCAGCTCCCTTAGCCGTTCCTCATAAGGCATCGTTTCCAGGCCTTTGACCATTTTGGTTGCCCTCCTCTGGACACGTTCCAGTTTGTCAGTGTCCTTCTTGAACTGTGGTGCCCTACGATGAGGCAGTTGCCTCAGGCACCATATGCTAAGGTGGGGGAAGTGGCCAGAACTATGAGCATCACGTGGCCTGTCCTACAGCCTGCTGCCCTCCAGGGCAGTAGAAGACACAGCCCTTTCGCCAGTATTGGAGTACCAGTCCAATGGTCCAACTACCAGTCCAATGGTCCCCTGTACAGTGGTACCTCGGTTTTCGAACAACTTAGCTCCCAAACAACAATTTTAATTTTTATCATCTACAATACTGTCTTATTTTATAGTACAGAACATATTGCTTTCATTTTGTGAATCAATGGTCTTGTTAGATAGTAAAAAAGGGGGGAAAAATAAGTCTAAACTCAATTTTCTCCTCTTAGGCAAAGACCACAAGGCGACCTGGAGGGTTAGGGTTTGCAGGTGCAGACCACCCCCCGAAACAAATAAGTTCGCTAGGAAAACAGTTGAAGTCGGCCTCCA